GTCAGTTCATCAGTTACTTCCTCCTACTTACCGAGATGTTTGGCTGGAGTGGAGTGATGCAGAAAAGAAAAAGGAAGAATTAAATAAAATGGAAACCAATAAACCACGTGATCTTTTTATTGCCAAACTTCTGAATAAATTGAAACAACAACAGCAACAGCAACAACAGCATTCTGAAAATAAGAGAGAAAACTCCGAAGATCCTGAGGAATCTTGGGAAAATTTAGTTTCTGATGAGGATTTTTCTGCACTGTCCTTGGAATCAGAAAAGGCAGAAGATTTGGAACCTGTTAGAAACCTCTTTAGAAAGTTGCAAAGCACACCTAAGTACCAGAAACTTCTAAAGGAAAGGCAACAGTTACCTGTGTTCAAACACAGGAATTCAATTGTCGAAACCCTTAAAAGGCACCGGGTCGTGGTTGTGGCCGGTGAAACAGGGAGTGGTAAAAGTACTCAAGTACCACATTTTCTTTTGGAAGATTTGCTTCTAAATGAGTGTGGAACAAGTAAATGTAACATTGTCTGTACCCAGCCTCGAAGAATCTCAGCAGTGAGTTTAGCCACAAGAGTGTGTGACGAGTTGGGCTGTGAAAATGGACCTGGAGGAAGGGTAAGATGTTGTTCAGCTCCACCTCAGTGAATGGTGACATTACTCATTTTTGCTCTTGGGATCCAAATGGAACAGGTACCATATATGAGTTTTGACTGTTACTGGTTGTTTAGTAGCACATCTCAAGCACTTTTCATGTTTTCTTTGATCTGATATTATGCCACTCTCCTTCCTGTGAAAAGGATTATTAGTAATTCTGTCATTAAAATTCTCATATAAAAAAAAATATTCACTTTAATTGAATATTCAAATATGTTACATATTAAATTAAACATTCAAAGAATACAGACAACTACAAATTTGACTCTAATATCATATATCTCAGGTTTTTGCAAATCTTTTCTGTGGCATGTATTCCTGAAAGATTTTCATTAATTCTTTTCAGTGAGCACAAGGAAAAAACAACAGAGAAGAAAATGCTAGACTATTTTCAAACCCTGTGTATTCAAAAAAAAAAAGAAAAAGTACTTAAATATCTGTTGTGATGCAGGTATACACGAAACTGGCCAAACCTTAAACAGAGTGACTACTGTAAAGTACAAGAATTAATAAAGTTGGTTGGAACCAAATATGATGAATTCCAAGTTCATATAACTTAACTAAATTATACTTTGAATTGTTCTTTCTAGAGCTGGTATTTAATATTTTGGTCTCTATCTTTAAGATAGGTACCCCTCCATTAAAAATTTCTATGTAGCAAATTGGCTTTCTCTCATGGAATGTAAGAGGAAAAAAGACACAATTTCTGTCTAATAAGGAACTTATGTTAAGAGGATGACAGACATGTACACAGATAAAACAAAGGAATGGCTGAAGGAGTAAGAGAGAAGATGCGATGGGAATAGAAGTGACTTCAAGATTCCCATCAGGCCCCACTGGTATGATACCAGCTGCTTTTTAATGGTGGCAACTTTTATGAGATCATGATAGAAGAGTAGACCAAATTGTAGGAGCTACTTTAAAATTCTGTTCCTGAGTACCTCAATATTTTGCTCCAAGGTAATTTAATAAGTTAAACATCTATTAATGTTTTCTTAATCATATTCATGGTTCTTGAAGCAAGTGAACAGCTTTTTGTCTCAACACTTTGAAAAGAACAAAGATTTTTCTTGTTTAAAATTACCAAAACAAATATTATAGTTTTATATAATTGAAGACCATGGGAAAATAATTTTGATAATAAATTGCACTAAATAGATAGACTGTTCCATACGGTAGCAGGAACGGCACCTGTGCTTCGCTTTTTAAAGCTCATTTCCCAGATCACTTGTGAGAATCTAATCTCAGCCTTGTGTTCTCCCTTCAGAATTCTTTGTGTGGATATCAGATCCGGATGGAATCTCGAGCTAGTGAATCTACTAGGTTACTCTATTGTACAACAGGGGTTTTGCTAAGGAAACTTCAAGAAGATGGTCTCCTAACTAATGTGTCTCATGTTATTGTAGATGAGGTGAGTAGATTCTATAGTCGTGTTCAAATAAATTCTAATCATTTTTGTATTCAAATGATGTTACTTCTAATACTAGCTAACATTTTCTTCATGCGTACTAAATGCCAGACACTTTACATATAATAATTAATTTCCTCTAACAAATTTGTCTCATGTTAATTATTTAGTAAATACTATATAACATTTGCTTATGCTAAATGCTGTTGTAAGGACTGCGTGTATATAAATTAATTTAATCCTTCCAGCAATCCAGTGATGTAGATATTATTATCTCTATTTTATTGTTGAGGAAACTAAGGCATGGAGAGGTTAAATAGCTTAACAAGTTCATGCAGCCAGTAAGTTCTGTAACTGAGGGTTCAAACCCAGGCAATCTGGCTGCAGTCTGTGCTCTTACGAGTATACTGCCTTTTAACTACATTTAATTGTTAAAGGGTTTTCTCTGATTCTTACAAAAAACAAGCAATCTTCATCAATATGTCATTTTCTTTATAGCTATACCCCACTTGAATCAATTTGAATGTACAGCTTAAACTGAACTATGCCAAAAGTTTCACATTATTTTAAATGGCATACTAGCCTAGTATATGTAAACTGATTTGTTTTGTACATAATTTTTTCAAGAAGAAATAAGATATATAGTGTTTCTGCTATTCAAAAAATATTTTCAAAATTTTCTCTGATGTAAAGCTTTATGAATGTCTGTTAATTCACCAAGTTCAGAAGGCAGTAGTGAAAGTTCAGTCATTCGTTGATTTTTAATTAATAGACTACATATAGATTATTGGGTTATTTTCCTCTTTTTGGTTAGAAAATATTAGAAGTATAGAGAGGTACAAAAATGAAAATAAAAATTATCTATAATCTCATGACCCAGAAAAAAAAACAATGTTGACATTTGTGTACTTATATATGTGTATATTTTGTATGTATGTATATTTATTTTATAATTTTTTCATGTTATTAGATAGTCTACAAAACCATGATTTTTTAATGGCTTTATAGTAGTATATAATTTGGATGTCACATAATTTATTTAATCATTTTCCTGTTGGACAAGTTTAGGTTAAGATGTTTTTAAATATAATATTTTGGTAATAGATAAATGATAGAAATTCATTTTTATCTAAGGAGTCTTTATTCTTTAATGGGGGAAGAAATTGTACTATGATCACTAAGATGACAAAAAGAATTTATAGCTGCTTGAGAGGCCCATGAGGATAGAGTGTCAGAATTGTAGCTTTGCATGGCCAAGACCTAGATTTTATCAGTATCCTCAAGAATCAGTGTAAGTCAAAATGCTAATTTATCTATTTATAATTAGAAATTTTTACTGCTACGTAAGTTGAAATATTTATATAAGTTTTCTTGGAGTCCCACATTATCAGAAAATTGCTTGGTAAATATATATTGAGGTGAACCCTAATTTAAAAGTCAGACCAACTTCAGGAAGCTGTTCTTTGATGGTTTAGTGTTAGCAGTCTGCAGACGTGATTTACTGCACTGTGCTTCAGTGTGATACTGTCAGCCTCTTGAACAGTACAGTAAGAGTAAGAAAATCCCCAGTGAAATTCATTATTGTGTTAAATATAAGGATGTAAGAGATGTTGGCACAGAGTTCATTATATTATTCAGGACTTTCTTTATGAAAATGCTCAGGAGATTATTTCTGGCCTTATTATTAGGAATAGTTGTGTGCTTGGTTTAGTTTATGGTCAGTGTGCGAGTTAAGTAGCTTTTCCGGCCAGCTGCTATTGTGTTTACAGCCAAATGTTTTGCCCACCTCTACCAAGTATGCTTAATAAAGTATAGATTTTTATTAGCTCTATTTTATGTTTTATGCTTTTTTCTTTTCTTTTTTTAAAAATCATTATCTGTATAAATTACCATCTATTTGAGGAGGTTCCCCAGATCTTTTTCACTCATTAGGAAATCTCTCTCCTGAGCTTCAGACATAAATATCCTGGTCAAACCACCACATTATTACTTCTTTCTCCCACATCCCCTAAATCCAGTCACCTAGACTTGTTGATTCTACTTTGATTCTCACGTTCATTCACTTTCCTCCATATTCATTTGTGTTGCCCTCATATAAGCCACCATTATCTCCTTTATTACTAGAAAAGCCTGTAATGAAACTTCCTGCTTTTGTTTTCCTCTCCTCCACTATGTTCTCCACATTGTAGCCAGAGTTATCTTTTTTAAAACAAAACTCAGACCACATGACTAGTGCTTTACAATGTTTTAATCACTGCCCTGACTCAGAAGGATAAAGTCTCAACTCCATAACATGGTTTACAAGGCCTTACTGAGTACCTCGCCAGCTTTATCTCTTGCCTGTTCCCCGTCCCATGCTCAAGGCATCATTTTTGTTTTTCCAGTTCCTGAAACGTATTATGATCCCCCTCTCCACCATGATTTTGTACAACATCCCCTGGCCACTTTACTCCCTTTCTCATCCTGTTCCTTCCTCCTCCTTTTTTTCAAACTCATCTTTCAGTTCTCAGCATTGATGGCAATTTCTCTTAGATTTCCTGACCATTTGAATTAGCTACCCCTTATATATAATTTCAAACCAACCCCTTATATATAATTTCAAACCATCCTATACAATATACTCTCACTAGACTGTAAACTCTGAAATGAAGAGAACTGTCTTGACCTTTTTTTTTGGTGAGGAAGATTGGCCCTGAGCTGACATCTGTTGCCAGTCTTCCTCTTTTTGCTGAGGAAGATTGGCCCTGAGCTAACATCCATGCCCATCCTCCTCTACTTTGCATATGGGATGCTGCCACAGCATGGCTTGATGAGTGGTGCATAGGTCCGCGCCCGGGATCTGGGCCTGTGAACCCCCCGGCCGCCGAAGCAGAGCGTGTGAACTTTACTACCACGCCATGGGGCCAGCCCTTGTCTTGGTCATTTTTTAATCCCCAGCATCTAGCACATGAGTACTTACTATCTGTTCTGAGCGCTTTGCATGATCTCATTTGATTGTCACGGCCACTCTGTAAAGTCTCTATTATTTGTATTCTCGTTTTATAGAAGAAGAAATAGACCCAGAAATATTTAAATAACTCTCCTAAAGGCATACTGTAAGTGGCCAAGCTGAGAAGAATTGAACTCAAGCAGTTGATTCCAGAGCCTGAACGCTTAACCACTGTTGACTCCCTTCTAAGCAAATGAATGATCAAACATGTTTTAAGTTGTTATCTTGATGTTTTATCTTTGTGTGCTGCCTTAAATCTTATAAAATAAAATGGGGTAGAAATAAGTCAGACTATAGAAAGTTGGAAGATAGACTGGTACATTCAGCAGATAGTAAGTTCTGACAGTGTACCACATTTACTACGTTTTCTAGCAAGTTTACAGTGTTCTTCCCTAAAATACATATGTTAGAAGGGTATAAAACCCTTTTTCTTGGACAGTTGATAGAAACTGTCAGATTCCTACTAATCAGCTCCCCTTTTTCTACATAGTGAATAAACCATCTGTCTTACGGTAATGGCGACAGTATGGTTTATATTAGTGGCAGAACTTTAGGAGTCACCCTGGCTTCTCAGTGAAATTTGGGCGATACCTTAATCTTATCAGCCTAACACTTGCAAACTGTCTCCTCATGTAGAGTCCTACTATTGTAGCTAATCTTCTTCACTATATGCTGATTTTTACTGGCTTCAATTTTAGAGGGTGACTTAATTTTCAATTCTGAAGACCTGCCTTATTTGAAACATACAGCTCTTTCCCTCCACATGTACTGACTATATTTAAATATTGATTAACTTTTAGTAGATTTGAGTAATTGTTTTAGCCTCTTACTAGACTTTATGTATGATTAATTTTTTATTCCCTTTATACACAGGTTCATGAAAGAAGTGTCCAGTCAGACTTCCTACTAATTATCTTGAAGGAAATTTTACAGAAACGCTCTGATCTACACTTGATTCTAATGAGTGCCACTGTAGACAGTGAAAAGTTTTCTATGTATTTCACACACTGCCCTATTCTCAGAATTTCAGGAAGAAGTTATCCTGTTGAGGTAAATTTTCTTTATAATGTGTATGTAAACATGAACTACATTCTCACCAGGGAGTTTCCCAGAAGACAGGTCCTTATAGTCTGAGCCCAGAACTATTCCTAGGATATTGCAGGGCAAGAGAGGACCTGGAGATGGCCTTGGGAATCAGATGGTTGGTGCTGCCTTGACTGAGGGTAGATGGACTGGAAGGGAGGATTCTGCTGAAAGTCATACCTGAGAAGTAGAGAACATAAAACACATTTCCCTAGCAAAACCATTATATCCAGATCCAGGGTAGCTGCCTGGCAAAAAGGAACTCCTTTCTCACCCACCCTTCAAATTTAGGGTTGTCTTAGAAAACTTTTTTTCTGCCTATTCTATTCTTAATGTTTGCCCTTTTGGTTCAGCTGATAAAGACTGCCCTTTTAATTGGTTTTCACATATAAAAAATATACACTACAATGTAATTTGCCCCGAGACTTCTAGGGACAGACCCATCTCTATCAACTAAGGTTGTTTTTTTGTTTTTTTTTTGAGGGGGGTGGTTTGTGAGGAAGACCAGCCCTGAGCTAACATCTGATACCAATCTTCCTCTTTTTTACTGAGGAAGTCTGGCCCTGGGCTAACATCCGTGCCCATCTTCCTCTACTTTATGTGGGACGCTGCCACAGCGTGGCTTGCCAAGCAGTGTGTCAGTGCACGCCCGGGATGCGAACTGGCGAACCCCGGGCCGCCACAGCAGAGTGCGTGCACTTAACCACTTGCGCCACCAGGCCGGCCCCATCAACTAAGTTTTTTATTCCCAAAAAATGCAGAAAAAAGCTTTTTTCATAATATTCTAAATTAGCATTTGCTGATATTCAAAAGGACAATCCCCTTGTTCTCTTTAAAATATTTACTGAAATGAATTTGAGTTCACCATTTATATGCTTTAATCTATGCAGGTTTTTCATCTTGAAGATATAATAGAAGAAACAGGCTTTGTCCTGGAGAAAGACTCAGAATATTGTCAGAAATTTCTGGAGGAGGAAGAAGAAATAACCATTAACATTACAAGCAAGGCAGGGGGAATAAAAAAGTATCAGGTAAAAAGAAAACATTTTTAAAGACAGCTGATAATGATATCCAGGGCATAACCTGCCATGAGAGTTTTAAAATCATATGTTTGCCACAGTGAATTCGAGCATAATTTGGTAGAAGAGGAATAGAACGGATTATGAGCATGTTTTAAAGGTCATTTCTTTTATAGACTCTAGTCTTTGGTTTATGATATTTTGTCTCCTTACACTATTCTGGGCCATATAGATACACACAAAAAAATCAAGGACCATATAAGTAAGAAGCAACTTTTATTGTTTCATAGCAGTGATCAGTTACTGAAGAGTAAATTTGTAATGATTTTCTCTACTTTATCTCAACACCTTAGGTGGTCAGGATGGGGCAGGCCCAAAATCTAGATCCTTGCCATTGGTTTTCTTAGCAGCCTCTGTCCTGGCGTGAGCCAACCTTAGCTCTATAGTGAAGCTGTCCAGGGCAAGTACAGTTCTTCCTAGAGAATGTTTCAATGACATGTTTTTAGAAATATCGCAAAAGCTATATTATTCTGCATTTTAGCCAATGGTACTATATCCAGTATTTTCATTGTATCCACAGTATTTCATGCATGTATCCAGTCCACTGGAAGCACCAAGTTAGTTACTTTATCTTTTAATTAAGCAGTTAAACCAAGAAAGCAAAAACTAAAATCTTTCCCTAAAACTCCAGAGATAGAAATTAGAAACTAAAGAAAGACTTCAGAAAATTAAAAGTATTTCAAAAGAGATGATTGGAACTCAGCAACTAAAGTAGAATCTAGAAGGAATGAGGCAGGCATAAACTATTTATTAATGTTATTATGACCTCTCTTGGCCTCGCCTCTTTTCACTTGCCACAGAACAATGCATACATTGTTTTCTTCACTTCTTGTTTAATATGTACGTGCCAAGGTAAAAAGTTTTGCAATAGTTAAGGGGGCTGGATAAAATTAAATTATAGAAGAGAGATGAAATTTTACAATAACTTTTTACACTGTAACAAATTGTACTCTTACTATATTTTAACAAAATAATAATTGTGACAATGAGAAAAATATAGATTTGAATGAATGTAAATACCTCCTTTTTTCTTTCTTTGTCTTATAAAAATACTTAATATTTTTGTTCACCTTTTTCTGATTGTGTTTCTTTTAGGAATTCATCCCAGTTCAGGCTGGAGCAAGTGCTGACTTAAATCCATATTACCAAAAGTACAGCAGCCGCACTCAGCATGCTATTCTCTACATGAATCCTCATAAAATCAACCTGGATCTCATCTTGGAACTTCTTACATATTTGGGTATATATCTATTTCTAATGTGTCTCCTTTTCTTTTGAGAAAACTTTTCTACTAACTGGAGATTTTTTATTAATATCTTATGTGCTGTTCCTTATCTTTTTTTTTATTTTGAATATTTATCGTTTTAAAAATTTTAGACAGAAGCCCCCAATTCAGAAATGTTGAAGGAGCAGTACTGATCTTTTTACCAGGCCTTGCTCATATTCAACAATTGTATGATCTTCTATCAACTGACAGAAGATTTTTTTCTGAACGGTAACTGTAAATCTTCATTATATTCCTGGTAGTTTTAAAATAGAAAAATGTTTTTGTACATTAAAACTTTTGATCATAGTTTTCAAAATCTTTTCACCTTTAGTTAAAATTGTCCGTGGTGAAGCAAGTTTATTTTTTAACATTTCTATTATAGCATTTTATCTACTAAAAATTTTAGGTACCATTTCTGCATTTGTTCTATTTTCTTAATAAGATTAAGCAGAGGGAATGCTATGGATAAGAATAAGATGGTGACTCCCCTACCCAACCCACTGGGTGATGTAAAAACCCCAGCAAGGTTGCAGTTTATAGTCTGTACATGTTGAATCAGCTGTTTACCATATCCGTTTTGATACAGTTTATTACTATTGTCTTGGTTATCACTTCAACATCAGAACATATTTAAAGAATTCTTTAGACCCTATATTCCATATAATTCATTCATATTAAACTTTTTCTTTTTGATGAGTATATATGGGGTTTCATTGTACCATTCTCAGAGCTTTTGTGTGTTTAAAATTTTTCCTAATAAAAAATTTAAAAGTTACTTCCTATTTGCAAATAAATTTTGTTATTCTTTGCAGTGTCTTCTAAAGAGAAACTCTTGCTAAGAACTATGATTTTAACTTTCAGATATAAAGTGATAGCTCTGCATTCTATTCTTTCAACTCAGGATCAAGCTGCAGCATTCACACTTCCTCCATCAGGAGTCAGGAAGGTAAATTCAGCACGGCAAATTTATATGTGATCCATCTGAGAATATTTTATGAAAGTGTTATGACTTTTTATCATGAAAGACTTATTAAGTGCCTTACAGTGCATGGCAGACTCCAGATGCTCTGCAGCTTAACATAATCAGAAGTGAATCCAATATTAAAATTCAAGTATTTGACTATTTATATTATATGTTATTAAAGGGACAAGGCTTTTTTAGGGGAGTGATAATTGAAAAATATGGCATGGATGTTGCTTGTGAAAAGAAAAATCAGTACTTTTCCCCCAAGAAGGCATCATGAAGGATGTTGGGTGTCAGGAGCTATTTGAATCCTAGGAGGATTCTTTGTTGTTCTCTAGGCTATTCACCCCTGATTATTTTTGTAATACACAGACCATCAGGTTAGGAAACAATCTCAGTATTTTCATTGTCTTCTCTATTCAGGATTTTGAATGAAGAGACACTTGGCAAAGAGAGTTTCTCAGATCTTGAACCCTCTCTCAGAAGGGGAAAGAAGAGCACAATGTAGGAACTGTGGGGAACACCGAGCACCCAGAAAGAGCCTGGACTATAATGCAGGAGGCCTGGGTTCTCATCCCTATGCTGCTGCCATGTTTGTGGCCTTTGGCAACCCACTCACTTTCTCATCTTTAAAAGGAATTAGATTAAACTGATGGTTTTCTAACTGTGCTCTGAGAACTCCAGGGGTTCTGAGGCTGTGCTCTGATCTGTAACATTTGGGCTTCTCTGTCAGATTTTGTTTGAAGAAAAGAGTTCACCTCTTAACGAAAAAATCTGAAAGCTACTGAGGTAGAAGGATTGCATAGGTCCCATCTAAGTCTGACTAATCTGGGTTCTGTTTCCTAGGATAAATGAATAAGAAAAGCAAGCATTCAATACTGAAATACAGAGTTCAGTACAAATAGTGAAATACAGTACATATTGAATTTGACCTAGAATTTTCTAAATGTTTTACCTGTAGGGACTCAACAGAAAAAAATGTGGAAGATTGCACTATTCATCCATCACCATTAAGAATTTTAGAGCTAGAAAGGGGCCTAAGAAATCATCTATTTCTACCTCCTAATTTACAGCTGAGGTAACTGAAGTCCAGAGAGGTAAAATGACTTGGCTAAGACCACAAAGCTAGTAAGTAGCAGAGCCAGGGCAGCAACCCGGTTCTTATTGATGTATTGTTTTTTTCCTAATTAATTGTGAAGAGTTTTGCTGAGGTGTCTCCATTCTCTGACCCAATTTCCCATTCTATTTATGTCATTTTGAAGATGACTGGCGAGAATTAGGTGAATGGTATTTTTGTTGGAATAAAAATCTGGAACTTAAGCAAACTGAGGTGATGAAACTAATTAGAGCAAATTAAAATTACTTGATAATAGTAAATAGATTGTGAATTTTTGTAAATAAAGATGAAACTCACTTTTTAAAATCCATAGGCTCAAACTCTAAAGGAGTTTAAACGATGGCACATTGCTGAAAGTTGTTACCCAAATGTTTTGGCTTTTTGTTTATTTTCAGATTGTTTTAGCAACAAATATTGCAGAGACGGGTATCACTATTCCAGACGTTGTATTTGTAATTGATACTGGAAGAACAAAAGAAAATAAGTAAGTTTGAATTTCCCAAATCAAAACATTTGGAACCTGAAAAAGGTTTGGGGCTCTTGAATTTTTAGGAGAAGTCACAGATCATATAGAGAAAATCCCAAATGTCCTAATTCTGCCCAAACCAAAAGCCTCAGAGAAATTGTAGGAAACTTTAAAATGTCTGAGAATAAATGTCAAATTTTATGTCATGGGTTTTCCCATAAATAATGCCAGCATGCACTGCTACTTTTAGAAAAGTGCTCCCTGAGAAAATTTTCAGAACATAAGTTTTTGTAAATTTGTTTGTAAAATAGATTGTTTTACCAAAGCATTATTTGTGGGATTATAAAAAAGAGCATGGGTTTTACAATCAGTTGGGTTTAAATCTCTGTGTAATCTTGAGCAAGTAAAATAACCATCAGTTATAATCATCAGCTTCCTCTTATATAAATGGGAAAAATGAAAATTTCATAATTGGAAGTGCCTAGTACAGTAATTAGCATGTAACAGGTAACCTTAACTGAATCTTCAAGAAAAAGATTACTACTTTATAAATGTTTTAATGTTTATATTGCATAAATAGGGGAGACTGCCTTAGTAGTCTGTTGTAATCTATACACTGTCCCTAATATTGGGAAACTTGAACAATATTTGGAAATGAGTATGACTGTCCAGTACAAAATAAACCCTTGATTTTTTTAATTGTATCTTTAGAGGAAGTGTTTTCAGGGTTTAACCATATCTTGTGAAAGGTATTGTTGTAATGTTCACAGTGGCATTTCTCAAACTCAAAGAATTCTTGTTGCATAATTAATAGGCATTCCACTTAAATCAAAAAGGTTCCATGGTCAGATTAATTTGGGAAAGGGTAAGTTAAACAGGTTTTTTTTCTCGTGCCAGAGCTTTTAATTTGGTAGTATGAGATTTAGTATGCAGTGTTTGCTAAATTATTTAAATATGAAACACGATTTGGGAAATATTGGTCCACAATGATAATGGACTTGTTTTTTTTTTGATGAGGAAGATTTGCCCTGAGTTAACACCCCTTGCCAGTCCTCCTCTCTTGCTTGAGGAAGATTAGCCCTGAGCTAACATCTGTGCCAGTCTTCCTCTATTTTGTATGTGGGACACCGCCACAGCATGGCTGGTAAGTGGAGTAGGTCTGTGCCTGGAATCCGAACCCATGAACCCAGGCCACTGAAGCAGAGCACGCAGAAAGTGAACTACTTGGCCATGGGGCCAGGCCCGGTAATAGACATTTTTTAGCCTATCTTAAACTTAATTTTAAGAGTCAGATATTTCCAGCTTTTTAAGATTTTGATTTAAGTCAATTAGCTACATTTCTCTCCTAAAACATAGGTACCATGAAAGCAGTCAGATGAGTTCTTTGGTGGAGACCTTTGTCAGTAAAGCAAGTGCTCTACAGCGCCAAGGGAGAGCTGGGCGGGTCAGAGATGGCTTCTGCTTCCGACTGTACACAAGAGAAAGGTATGGCCAGCACTAGAATTGAAAAACACATGAATCAAGACAGTGTGGCATTTCTGGTAATATGTAAGTATTTAGTATTATTTGATTTTATTTTTCAGATTTGAAGGCTTTATGGACTATTCTGTCCCTGAAATCTTACGAGTGCCTTTGGAGGAATTATGTCTTCATATTATGGTAATCTCAAAGGAACTCAGATGAATTTTTTGTTCTTCACCCCTTTCTAGAATAACAAATGAAGACCTAAACTTATCTTACCTTGTGTTGCTCTAGATTTTCAAGTATTTTATTTACTCTTCTTTAATAAATGCCCCCTCCTTCCATCTTTTTATAAGTAAACCCACTGTGCTTTAATTCTGCCATAGGCACTCATACTTTATAGGTTAAAATACAGTACCATAACCCAGATCAGTAGTTATCAACTGGGGGACATATTGCTCAGATATTGCTCACCAGGGGACAATTGGCAATGTCTGGAGACATTTTTGGTTGTCAGAACTGGGGTGAGAGGGAGGCCATGCTATGGGCATCTACTGGATAGAGGCCACAGGTGCTGCTAAATATTCTGCAGGGCACAGCATGGTACCCTAAAACATAGAATTATCTGGCCAAAATAACAGTAGTGCTGAGTTTGGGAAACTCTGACTAGACCAAGGGCTTCCTAGTCTGAAAGATCTATAATATCTTTCAGTTCTTAGATTTTTGACTCTATAAATGAAGAAACTAAAAATAGGACTGGACGATCTCATCCTCATGCCCACCCCTTTCTCTGTCTCTCTCCCTCTCTCTCCCTCTCTCTCCCTCCCTCTCCCTCTCCCTCTCTCTCCCTCCCTCCC